ACGGAGGATGGACAATATCTACGGAGGATGGACAATATCTACGGAGGATGGACAATATCTACGGAGGATGGACAATATCTACGGAGGATGGACAAGATATACGTCTCTGCTCGCTCGCTCTCGTGAAGATAGGCGGCAAGATCTTGGGGGCAATACGGGCACAAGTCGCCGGTTTTGACTTCGTTCATCTGGAATTGTCTTCTGCAAACAGCTACCTCAATGGCTTGGTTTCTAGGTCGATATGCTTCCAGCGCAGAAGTCGGCAAGCAATATCGTCTCGCTAGAGAACCGCAGATCACACAGACCAAGATATCAACAGGGTCAATCATATGTTCAGGACCCCGCGCTGCCGCTGCGAACCAGCTGGTCAAACAGTATTGCCTGTTGCAAGTCCCAAAGCTGTCTGCTTGCATCCATCGCCGTTTGTTGAGCACAAGCCAATACATAAGCAGTCGACATATTGGGCGGCACACCAAGGGTCGAATGGAAGCTCGACGTCGGTTGCGAGATTGATCCAGGGGAGATTGGCCATGGCACCTAACCATCGTTCTCCTCATCGATCAGAAATTCCACAAACGGATCCATCTCAACCAATTTAAACATCTGGCCCCATCTGGCACGGAAAACTTTTTTCTTGTACAGACTGCTGGTGTTGAGTTTAAAGCTCACCAGCTCGACACACCAGCCCTTTTCCAAGGCGCGTTCAACCATGCGCAGAAACCCGTCTGAGTACTCAGCCTCGGCAGCGTCGCCAGTGGCGAGAACGATGGTGCTAGGTTTCTGTGCGTCGACCAACGACTCGAGGATCTTCAGGTGTAGAATTTCGTCCACGGCCTGTTCGACCCATTTCTCCGGACCCGAAAAGCTGGGGAGACCTGTGTTCGTTTCAGAACCACTTGTCTCACCCCCCGATCGGGATTGGTATTTCTTCTGACGCGGCGTCAGCTCCTTCGCCTTGTGCACGCGCTCGAGAATATTGGTTTCGTAGCCGATCGACTTAGCTTGCTGGATTGCGGCGTATTTGTCGGATCCAACAAGGACACGTTTGGCGCATGGGCGACCACGTTCAAGGATGAGAGAAAAGTTGTGGAATGAGAGAGGAACCCGCTTGAGGCGGGTTTCGCGAGACATTCCACGTGCTAATTTCAAGCAGTCATGGAAGCCGATGGATATGTTCGAAATGTCAACAAAGACATGAATGCCGATGTCGGATGTATTTAGCGGAGTAAAGGCAGGTTCGAGGAGCCCTGAATTCTTCAGATACCTCTTCTCTTCAGGATGCCGGCGGATCAACTCAGTGATCAGTGCTTGCTTTCTGGCTTTGGGTGTCAATCCATCACACGGAATAATGACAGTGTGCTTCGATGGCGTAGAAACCGGTGAAGTAGCCCACACAAAGGGGTTGGAGACAGCCAAGTCGCGTTTGGGAGTTCTGATTTCAGCTTTGGGGGGTGATGGAGAGGTTGGAGGTGAACTGTGATCGCGGAGGCCAGGTCGACTGCGACCGAGAATACCGTCAATAACAGCTCTGCGATCCGGAGAGCGGCGTAGCGATTCGAGCTCCTCTCCAGATTCCAGATCGCTGGTGTCGGAAACGGTCTTCTGCTGGGGGACAAGATATTCTGCTCTTTCCTTGGCTCTGGCTCTTCTTGCAGCACGCTTCTGGTTGCGAATGTACGCGGCCGTGGCCTTGTTATTGGGAGGTTCGACATTGTCTTCTAGATCAGCGCCGTCCACCTCATCGCGCCAGCGCACGCCCTTGTTCAACGGGTTCAGGTCGATCTCGGCAACAGGCTCATCGTTGACCTTGTATTTGACCAGCTCTGTAGCTTGCTGCTCATCGGCCGTATGAGGGCGTCCCAGGAAATCCCACACGAAGGAGAAGTCCCCAAGCGAGCCACCAGAGGTGTCGTTGGCCACTTGATCGTTATTGCAGTGAACGATAAGCTCATGGCTCACGGCAGGATCAGGGTTCTTGAGGGCGAGACGGTTCAAGAGTTTGATCGCGTCGTTGAGATCCCATAATGGGAGGTCTCCTTCGTCGGGCATGAGCACTTCTGAGGGAGGCCGGCTCTCCAGGTCTCGCGGGAGGGGATAGGTGGTTAGAGAAAGGTAGGTCTGGTCGGGAAAGGTAGGCGAAGTGCACGGCGTTTCATTTCTCTCAGAACTATGTGCAGCAGTGGTGTAGATGAGTGGTAGAGGAGGGGGATAGCTGAATCAATCGGTGGGAAGAAATGGCGGTTATAGAGAGCGTGGTGGTTGTGTGGCTGTGAGCCGCTGGTGATTCATTTCGAACTCAATCGTACTTGAGCGGTGGGTCATTCGTCTTTTACGGTCGCCATTCAGATCTAATACTGGGTACGCTAGTCACTTTAGGGCCAGCTCGCTTCACTTTCCGCTTTGTGTCACCCCACTAGTCCTCACGCCGCTTTCACCTTCTTCTCGCACGTGACTGACTTTACAAATCCAAGCTGCATACAAGTATAGTTGGTAAGAGAACAGCGAACTTACCCAGGTTGTTAGCGCCTCGAAGACATGGCACTGTACAGATGCAGCCTCTTTTGTAGCAGAGGATGAGGGGCTGCCTTTTTGGAAATAGGATTGTTGATGTTGATTCAAGTCTGGTGGCAGCCATTGCCTGGTACATTGACCGCACGATAAACACCCCAGAAATTCAGCTTTAGCCGTGACAAACAATCATCGACAACATAATGTGTCTGCGGCCTCTCTCCTATCTCTCCACGGGCATTGCTTGTGCTCGACGTCAACCGATCTCAACAGCTCTGATTCGTTTTAGACATTCACTGTCGCTTACCTGTGTAAGCCTCTGTGTGAGCTAGGCAACCGCTTCTCTTCCAGTTTGCGATTGATTATTGTCATTGAAGAGCGAACAAAGGAGTGACACGATGGGTTCCAGAGTTGTAAGTCTTATATATATCTGTTCGGCTACCCATACTCTTTCTCGTAGCCGTTTCGATAGTGCTGGCGTTTGACAACGACATAGTGCAGCCACAACGGCACACATTACCGCCGACGTGATTCAGCCTTTCAGGATCCCACAAGCGGCACATGATGCTTTGTCCTGCCCCCCTGTTGCAACGAACTTCTGACATTAGAGGTTCAGGTCCTTACCATGGTTTCAAATGACGGTGCCCAGTGCTGCAGCGAAGCCACCGACTTCCTCTCCCTCCTCAAAGACCTCCCTGTGAATAGTTTATGCTGATATTGGACCGCCTCTCCTCTCGGGATCTCGTCTTGCTTGCGTTGCCAGGTAAGAACATGGCAGCCCTCATCCTCAACAGCCCGACATTCACCACTGCTGCCACCCTCGAGGAGGCCGACCACGCGGCTCTCGGGCATACGACATTGTCACCCGCGAGTTCCCCGGCAGCAAGCAAAACATATGACTCCTTTGGTGTGGCCATTACACTTGTCCTGGTCATATGCGACGACTGAGGAATTGGGGATGGAAGGTGGGAATGAAAGCGAAGGAGTTGAGAGAGAAGCAAAAGGCGATTGGGCAGAACGAGGAGGAGGAGCATCAGCAGAAGCATGGAAGCAACGATCAAGAGAACGAGAGCTAACGCAGACCCGGTGCTCGCAGCAGACCAACAGGAGCGCCGCTTTGCTCTGGGTTGCACTGCTTTGCGATCAAGCTGGTTCGCTGGTTGGAGAAGCTGAGAAGAAACCAAACATATGCCAGTTCATGACATGGTAATGTTGGGGTATGTGGATGCCTCGGATGTTTCCCCATCCGGAGGAGAAATCAAGATACTGTGGTAGATCTGCCCCCCTTCTGTGCCCCTCTGAAATGACCCAATTGGAGACTTTGCGGTGCTTTGCCGTGGAGTGGCCATGTCTCTGAGTACGTCACTGCCTTCCAGAGATGCGGTTTCTGTTCATCAAATCCATTGTTTCCCCTCTCGCTCTCGTAAACATCCTCTGCACTCTTCCCGCTGGTGCGAAAATCCGAGGCTTGGAGGCCCCATTGTGGCGTCAACCTAGCGAGCTCGAGATGCTGCTGCAGTCTCGGAAAATGCCCCTGCCTGGTCGTCTCCGCTTCCATTCCTCCCTGAAAGACGCCAGATATGGTTACTCTTGCCTCATCTTCATCCGCTCTCCGCAGGCGGAGTGAGTTCTGCTTTTTGGGATGCGGGGCGAGCTCGACAGCTGTATGAGCCCCTCAAATCCTATATTTCAAATCCCAGGCATCTGTCCCACCCAGAGGTGTGCTTTGTTTCCCAATCTGTGGGTCATCATCGCTTCTTTTCAACCATGTCTGCTATCCAAGGCCAGCTCGATCGCGGCGCCGTGCCCAATCACGTTTCCAATGTCTGTCCCAAAGGCACCAAGTTTCACATCCTCGAGGTAGGCTGGCTCGAGTGTGACGAAGCATTTGTCGTGCGTGGCGGCAACACCAGTCTGAAGAGTACTGAAAACAAATCCTTTGTCAACAAACGGAGGGAGCTGCCTGTATACTGCATCCTTATCGAACACCCGCATGAAGGTCTCATCTTGTGGGAGACGGGTTGTGGGAAGGATTACCCCGAGATCTGGGGCCCTGTGGTGTCCGATGTGTTTTCTCGCGTGCGCTATGACCCTCAACATGAACTCAAGGCAGCGGTTGAGGCCACGGGAAACAAGCTCGAGGATATCAAGAAGATCATCATCGGTCATCTGCATCTTGACCATGCGGGAGGTTTGGACGAATTCCTTGACAGAAAGGACGTCGAGATTTGGGTCCACGATAGGGAACTCAGGGCAGCTTTCTGGTCCGTTGCCACAGGCGCGGACGTGGGCGTCTATCTGGAACATTACCTCAAACTGAGCTTGTATGTTGCTTCCGCTAAAGCCACGAAAGTCCATCTTCTGACGCTTTGCAGGAACTGGAAGACTTTCGACGAGCGAACGTTCGATTTCTGCCAGGGCATCACCCTGCATCACCTGCCAGGCCATACTGACGGTGAGAGCCGGCCTGCATGGTTGAAAACAAGGAGGGACTGACTGGTCACAGGATTGATTGGGATGCAGATCAACATGCCAGAAAGTGGCACGTTCTTCTTCATCAGTGACCACTGCCACGTAATTGAAAATGTGAGTGTCTTTCACCCTTCGACGTGCCCGGTACTGATCTATTCCTCCAGTGGCGCGATGGTATCCCACAGGGTTGGCTTGCTAGAGATCATCCGGCGTGGTTCCAGAGCACTCAGCGGTTGAAGCACTTGGAGAGGACGACCAAAGGCCGGATCGTTCCAGGCCATGACAAAGAAACATATGAGAACTTGATCGCCAACGGAAGGTCATATACCTGAGTCGAGCGGTGACACGCCTGTGGCAGAGCATGTTGATTCAGGACGGAGCGCGTTAGGTGTCCCCGAAATAAGAGCTGTTGCTGATGCATCCCACCACATGTCATTCAATACAACGCTCCCTTAAATCGTTCGTCCTCTCATGTTTCTGCAGTTTCAGACTATGCTCAACGTCCTGCCTTTTAAGCATTCCTGCGCGGCCGGTGATTGACTGGACCGCAAGCCACAAACGCCTCGCGAGTCCAGAATAGTACGTCTCCCTCGTAGTTAAGGTCATTAGCTGCTCGAAGAGTCCTGATCCGCAATCGCCCACTGGCTATCGGTCAAAGTGGAATCAATCATTTCGGGTGTATCTTCAGACGGCCCATCTCGGGGGTTCTCATCTGAGTCGTCGTTGGCAACGCAAAACCCAACCGATTTGGCGCCCTTGTTGTTGGATTTTTTCCCGACGAAGACAACATCGCCGTTCCATGGCTGGCACTTATATATGATTTCTCCGCATCGAAGACATGTCCAGCCGCCGCCTTCCTCCCCTTCAATCTTGGTAGCTATGCACACAAAGCAGTAGATACAGCCGCATGGAATGGTTTCGTAAGGATTTACAACATCCGTAGTGGCCGAGCCGATTACGCCTCCTCCAGCGGCTGAATTCGCTCCCAGAATCTCAGCTTCAGATGTCGAGGTTGGGTTCTGGTCCTGATAACAAATGGCGCAAGTCCTTTCTGGTAAGAAAGCCAGGGGTCCGCTTTTTATCTTATCATTGTCTTCTTCTGCTGTTGATTGTGACTTCATGGCGTCCTTCGTTTTCTTCCATACTCTGGCGAGCCATCTCCGCCATCGACTGATGCCGACCAGTGGGAGAAGGAATAGGAGAAATTCTGTAAAGGCATGCCAGACCAATTGACGGTTTAGATACTCAAACGAGACCTCACGGCTGACTTGATTTGACGGTGATATCAGCCTCAACCTCAGGAGACGGTCTGTGAGAGTTCGGTAGCGGCCATTGACGAGGAACACCAGGAAGGAACAAAATGCGGCGATAGAATGTGTTGTCGAGAGGAAGGAGGTGAACCGCATCAAGCTCTGGACGGTCTCTGAAGGAGCTGTATATCCTCGCTCTTGATCAATCAGCCAATCCTCCCATTTGTCCCATCCATAGCGGCCAAAGACCGTTAACAGGCCGTAAAGACTCTTTTGCCACCTGGTTGGTTTCGGAAGGGCCAATCCAGGTTTTCTTGCGTCGACGTATCGGAGGTTCTGTAGGGCGGCGCCGTAGGAAGCATCGTTGTCCCATATGGATAGTTTGAAGAGTATCGCCCTGAGAACAAGCAGAATTTCTTGCGACCAGTCATCCTGAAGATGTGGCCCGAGGTACTTCAAAGCATCTGCCACTTGTGTCTTCAACAGCCCCAGCAACTCTTCATCGAGGAGTTCCGCATCCACCTGTCCCACTCGAAAGGCTGGGCGTGTGCCCTCGGAATCTAGCAAAGTAATCCAGAATGAAGACAACTTGGGTCCCAGCGACTGAGCGAGTCGCGTCAAAGAGCGGCCACTACTAGTCTCGGCTTGTTGAGTGAGAGTGCGGGTTTCTTGCTGTCGGGCAGTCTGCTGTGCTAGAATGCGTTCCTGAGCAGCGGCAAAGCTGGTGGATGACATGGCGCAGTCATCTGCCAGGTAGAGAGAGGGATAAGAGGCAGAAGGAGAGTGAGAAGATTATGTTGGGTTGCAATAATGTGCAGCCGAGGCTGGCTTGTTGGCTTCCGGGAGAGATTAGCCGTCGCCATGCATCGTCGGCGAGGTCGGGTCTGCCCAGCAGCCTAGTTAGTGCCCGCAGCCTAGTCTCTTGCCGTTTTAAGCCCTTTTTATTAGGCCCTTTTCGTCGTTCGTCGTCTGAAAGGTACAACGAAAGGCTGGGGCTCCTTTTATGTAAATCTGTTTCATCGGAGCCTTCTCACTCACTCTCAGTCTCATGTTGAAAAGATCTTGTTTGACCCCTCAGAAACCTTCCTCTCACCAAATATTCCTTCTTCCCAACAACATGATGACCATTGTCAATATTTAGGCCTGCGTGCGACAGAAATGCCCTCCTTCACTATTGAGGCGGAGGGGGAAACCAATCCTCTCACCAGGAACGCTGTCATTTCTACTCTCCAAAGTGCCTCACACCCCACTGCTCAGAGCCTAAAGGTAGCTACGCAACAGATTGGAAACTGGGAAAAGTCACCCGGCTATTATGCTCTCCTTCAAGATGTCTACGCCGACTTCTCACTGGACCAAGAAGTCCGTTTCCAAGCCATCATCCAGCTCAAGAATGGCATCGACAAACACTGGCGCAAAACCTCCGTAAATCCCATCACCAAGATTGAGAAGGAACAGATCAGATCCAGATCCATCGAAGCGGGGGTGCGAGAGCCTATATCTGCCCTTGCACTCCAGAATGCCCTGATGCTCGCAAAGATTGTGCGATATGAATTTCCCCATGATTGGCCGGATGTCATCAATGTTGTGATCCAGCACCTTCGAGCAGCCAGCGAGGACCCAAGCGCAACCCTTTACATTTCGAACATTTTAACCATTACCTTGCAAATAATCAAGGAACTGGCGTCGGGACGTCTGCAGCGCACGAAGAAGAGCCTCCAAAATGTGGCATTGGAACTTTTGCAGGTTCTTGGCCGCCTCTATGTTAGTTTGGTGGCTAGGTGGCAGTCAGCTGTAGATCAGTCTGACCTTGCTAGCGCAGTCAGCAGTCATTCAGCGCTGAAGACATTGCGGCGTCTTCTAGTTGTCGGCTTCGAGAATCCTCATCGGGAAGAGGCTGTCAAGCAGTTTTGGGATCTCCTGCAGACGCACCAACAGGCCTTTTGGGCAGCTTACTGTCAAGAGGTCCCTGCCGAAGTTCGAAGTGTGCTACTGAAGCATCTGCTTCAACTAGCCAAGTTGTATCTCGACATGGCGCGAAATCACCCTGCCTCCTTCGTCCTTCTTGGCTGCATGGACATCTTGAATCACTCTTGGTCGATAATCAGTCAGAGTGGGGCCGGCCGGTCAGCCTTGCGGGCCGACTTCGATTGGAAAGTGTATCGCCATGGTGATAGTGCTGAAGAGTCACCAGTGGAGAAGCTTTGCTTGAAAGCTCTTCTCCTTTTCCGCGCTTGCATGAAAATGGTCTTCAATCCCGTCCAAACATTCAAATATGTCACCCCCGAGGACAAGCAAGACAGAAAAGACGCCGTCGACTACGTCAAAAACATAGTTCTTACGCAAGACTTTGTTCTTCGGCTGATGGAGCTTTTAGTGACCCAGTACTTCGTTCTTCGGCCATCCGACTTGCGCGACTGGGAACAGGAGCCAGACGAGTGGGAACGCCGAGAGGAAGAAATTGCAGATGCATGGGAGTTTTCCATCCGCTCATGTTCGGAAAAGTTGTTCCTAGACCTCGTCATCAACTTCAAAGAGTTGCTGGTCCCACGATTACTCCAGGTCTTCTATCAATACGCAACCACTTCCAACACCGATGTGCTTCTAAAAGACAGCCTCTACGCGGCTATCGGCATCGCGGCTGCCTGCTTGGAAGATGTCCTTGACTTCAATACTTTTCTCCGTGAAACATTGGTGCAAGAAGTGCAGATGAACCGACCAAACTACAACCTGCTTCGTCGGCGAACTGCAATTTTACTAGGCCAATGGGTCCCAATCAAGCCCGAGGTAGTTGACCGAGTCGCAGTGTATCAGATATTCACACACTTGCTTTCCAGCCGGGAACCCCTCAATGACCATGTCGTTCGCGTGACAGCAGGACGACAGCTACGCCTAGTACTAGAACCTTTTGAATTCAGCTACTCCGATTTCCGCCCCTACGCGACGCCTTTGCTTGAAGGTGTCATGTCTCTCATCACCGAGACAGAACTATCAGAGACAAAAATGGCATTGCTTGAGACGGTCAGGGTGGCTGTTACGAGATTGGAAGGCCACATAGAGCCGTACGCGCAGGGCATAATGTCGATGCTCCCGCCATTGTGGACAGAGTCTGGCGAAGAACACTTGATGAAACAAGCAATATTGACCTTGATCACCGCAATCGTCAACAGTCTTGGGCAGAAGAGTCTGGCTTACCATGGACCCATTCTGCCCTTAATTCATGACTCCATCCAGCCACAGTCGGAAGCGATCGTGTATCTCCTGGAAGAGGCACTCGAGCTGTGGGTTGCCATTATACAGCAGACCCCAACGGAACGCGCCTCTTCAGACCTGTTGTCCCTATCTCAATCTCTCCTGCCGCTGTTGGATACGGGCGGTGAACTCCTAAGGCAGATCTTTGAACTCACAGAATCTTACACGATATTGTCGCCCACCACGATTCTGTCACCCCAATTTCTGACGCCGCTCTTGACATCAATGAAATCCCTCTTGCCCGCGCTATCGACTAGCCGAGCACGAGATGCGTCATTAGCACCTCATGTGCTGGAAAACCTCGTCGCCACAATTTCGATCCAGTCCCAGTCAACTGTGAACCCTCAACAAGCCCTCACACATCTGTTGGAATCAATGATAAGCACCGACTACCTCGCATCTCTGCTCGAGCTCCTGAAGGAAGCATATGAATATCACCAAGATCCTCGTCCGAGTCGCAAGCCACCAGACATAATTGGCCCGGGAGAGACAAGCCTTTTCAGCCTGCTGGCACGAATGGCCCTTCTCTCACCGGACCAAATCACTCAAGCCATCGCCGCCACCAACATCACGTCCCCCGTGTCTACATCAGCACCAATGTCGTCCTCTCTTTCATCACCAGTCCAGTGGCTTCTGGTGGAATGGTTCCTCCACATCGATACCATAGGCGACATCCTAAGCAAAAAGCTCCAGGTCCTCGCCCTTACAAATTTGCTTACTTGTACCGTTCCACCTCATTTCCCTACAATCATGCTGGAGAATCTTGAGACACTATTCACAATTTGGACCGACATTTGTATGGAACTGGGTCAGGAAGCTGCTGATGAGTCCGAGGGCGACTATTTATGGCATAATCGCCATGGAGATGGTGGAGATGTCCCCGAGTGGCCAGACGCAACGCCAGAGGATGGGCGGAAGAGGGTCGTCAGTAACAATGATCCGATCTACACCGTCAACGTACGCGAATTCATTGGTTCTAGGCTGAAGGAGGCGATCGAGAGGACAGGCGGATTGCAGAGTTTTCAGCAGAAATGGGTGAGTGGAATTGACGAAACGATTGTCAAGAGCTTCGTAAATGTGAATTTGCTGTGACGCGGGGATTGTAATGAGTTATGTGCCCATGGCAGTTGGACATGGTGAGACACGGGCAGGTTTGGTTGATTCTCGTGTCCAGATAATGTTATTGTCATTCTCTCTCGCGAGTGATTGGGGGCCTCTCGCCAGTCCTCGTCAGCGAGAGACCTGTCTTGCTTTTGACATGGACCTTGACACAGAGCTCTTCAACCAATTCCTTGCCAGTACGCACCCACATTTCTACAAGAACTACGAAGGATGGCTGAGATATGTGACCGAAGGTCGACAAGAGAACAGCTTTGGCGGGATGGTGAGGGGACTAATGAGCACAAAGGACTCGTCAGTAGGGTTTCTATGTGAAGCTCGCTTGTCTGGAGGACGGTTGGAATGCTAGCTACATAGCCACCTACCGCCTGCGTAAAGATCGCTCAATAAATGCATTCCCACATGGCATATACTCGCCCGACCGACAGCAAACAGTGAAAGCCAGCCTGGTCCTGTTAAAGCAGCCGCAGCGAAGATTACAGACCTCGGATAGGAAGTGCGAATCCATTTCAAAGGGATTCAAAAAGTAAAAATCACGAAAAAACCGCCATTCCCAAACAAAATCCTGTTCTATGAGTCTATACTAGATTGCACCGACTCCACCCCGGATATCGAACCCTGTCTGGAACCCACGAAAGTGGGCGCTTTCTTCAATCCCACATGATAGCGCATAAACAACGTGTCGATAAAGTGCTCATGTTTGATGCCGGGGGGTTTCTCCGCCGCAAACTCCTCTACCGCGTCCTGTGGCCTGTATCCCAGTTTCTCGATCAAATAGCAGCAGATGAAGAAGCCCGTGCGGTTGTAGCCGTAGTGGCAATGTACGCCAATGGTTTTCCCTTGGATGGTGTGAGGGTCCTCGAGGCGCAGGCGGTCGACCAGGGCGATGAAGTCTGCGACCTCGACGACCGTGGGCGGTACTTTGCTGACGGTGGGGAATTTGTGGTACTGGATGCCGCCGCGCTCGAGGGATTTGGTGTCGTACACGGGAGAGTCGTGGGAGATGTCGATGATAGCGAAGATCTTGTCGCTCCAATTCTTAACGAACACAGAAGGCGTGTGGGTGTCGTCCTGCTCCCTCAGAGTCTTCATGGCCCGAAATATTCCTGATTCTGGAGGGTGTCCAATGGGACCGGATACGGGCATGACTCTTTTCCATTTCTCCAGGTTTTTCACGTCCCATTTGCCCGAGGTGGTAAGTTGTTGGAGTTGCCAGCCAAGGGAGAGTTCGGGCGAGACGTAGCGTGCTAGGAAGTCTTCGATTAAACCAGCCACGGTGCGGTAGGTGGAGTGGTCGTACATTAAAGCATGGGCCGCCGGAGAAGGGAGGATGGCTATTTTAACAATCGCCGAGTTTTGGCTTGACATCTCGCTTGTTGAGGGAAGGGTACCGAACTGACGTTCATCCGCTGTTGGTTCGGTTTTGGCAACAGCTGCAGTGTCCTCTGCTGCCTGTTCCGGGGCAGTGGCGACAGCAGGAAGGGGTTTGCTCCCAGGGTCTCCGTTGATTTCCTCCCCAACCGCGAGCTTCTTCAGGAAGGACACAATTTTTGTAACTTCTGCTGGCTTTGTGACAGCGTCTGCCTCGCCAGCGATGAGGAAGAGAGGTACTCGGATTTTTGCCCATGTGTCTCTTCCGGGTAGACCACCTATCGCTCTTCCTGAAGGGTCGTACCGCGGCAAGCAGCCCAGTGCGGAGCGCTTCCACACCGGTGTCTTGAAACTTTTGTTAAATGCCAACTGAAGGCGTCGGAGGTCTATTCCGGCGGCCTTTCCGGCCATCCTTTCAACACTTTTGGAGTTGACTCCCCCTCTCCGGTCCAGAGATCTTAACATATCGAGCACTGTATCTGGGAGCGATAAGAATCGCCTCGCCGAAGTCGTCTCTGAAGGGGAAGGCGGCGTCGCTCTCGGACAAATACCAACTAATCCTTCTATCCGAAACGGAAATGACGGTGACGTCGCTAATATTGCGGCAATCGAACAACCCATACTGTGGCAAATGAAAACCACTTTCTTATGCCCATGCTGTTCGCAAATATCTTGAATGGCTCTCTGCCACAGCTCGCAAAATGCTGTAATAGTGTAGGCCTCATAATCCATAGGGGCGAAGGCGGACATGCCATGACCAGGTAGGTCAATGCCGAAGCAGGGGGCTATATTGACAAGGCTCCCAAGCAACGGCGCAAATTGAGGTAAGGAGCCACCTAACCCGTGGATGAAGACCAGTAAAGGTAGATCTGCGATAGCTTGGAGCTTTTTGGCATGAGCATGAGGATGGTAAAAGGTTCTTATCGATGGGTATTCGGCGTGCTTAGTTTGGTATGACTGGACGCTTGAATGGTTCTTGAGCACGGGATGATCATTGTCAGCCGTCGCCGCCTCATCCTTCGAATCTTTACTCGAGGGTAGATAGGATCTTGCAATGTACAGCAGTCCAACCCCCAAAATTAAGCTCAGAGCAGTATTAATAGCCAGCATCCATGGCTTCGTAGCTGGCCGACCCCATGACTCTTGGGGTAGCTGGCGGCTCCCCAGCAACCGAAAATAATTGAAGCTGATGGTCTGCATTTCATAAGTCCATTCTGGGAGCGCAGATAGGATTATGTTTTGTGAATGGGGGACCTGGGATGAGAGCGTTGTGCGCAATATAAAGGTGAGGAAATAGAGTGTTTGCGTTTGCAAGCACGAGCCCAGGCGGTTGGTGAAGAATGCGATTAGCCGCTGGACGGCAAGGCTAGCAATGCTCGCCGTTTGAAAGATAGTCTGTGCTTGCTAGACATTTTAACTTTGTCATGCTTCCTGGGCCGGGAGGAGATGAACCTCGAAGCATGGACTTGGGCTTGAACAAGAAGACGATCGACTCCCTCGATGACGAACAAACCAGTTGATTTACCTCATGCCAGGTTGGGGTGGAATTTTCAGTATTCGGAGAAACTAATTCTCCGCGGCAGGTGTTCTACGGTGGAGCAAAGAAGCTGCTTTAGCAGGTCGCAGGCGCCGTTTGGTGCGGTCTTCTCGTCCCAGAATTTGATCGCATCATGCCATGATTGATAAACTGTTTAACCATTCGTTTGTTGGATTTCTCCTGCTCGCGTTGGTGCGTCGCGAAAGCCTATGCACCAAAGATGGTTGAGATGGACTCGACAGCGGCTTCCAGTTCGGCCTCTGACCACCAGCGGTCTCCCTGACTTCGCGCCCACGAGCCCAGCTCGATGCAATCCTCAAGCTGTCTCTCACGGCTTCCATTCTAGCGTCCCACGGCCGAAACAAGACCATGGCCCCCTTCGCAAGCAGTTAAAAGACGCTGTAAAGGCAACTCGAACCCTGCCACGAGCTCCGGCAGCGGCTGAGAATCCAGACATACTCGCCGATTGGGAGTTGACCGTTGGCATTGAAATCCACGCTCAACTCAATGCTTCCCGCAAGCTTTTCTCACGTAAGGTTTCGCCTTATCTCCATACCTCTCTGTCTAGATACCGATCCTGATGTTTGAGTAGCTGGTATAACTGCGCCGACTACGGTCCCAAACAGTCAAGTGGCTCCTTTCGATATTGCGTTGCCTGGCAGTCTCCCAGTCCTTCAGCCGGCTGTTATCCTACCTGCTCTTCGTGCGGCCACCGCTCTAGATTGCACAATCCAGCAAGTGAGCACCTTTGACCGTAAACATTATTTCTACCACGATCAGCCGGCAGGCTACCAGATTACTCAATATTACAACCCCTTTGCGAAGAACGGCCGCGTGGTGTTAACCGCCGAAGATGGGTTAGACGAAGGTCGCACTGTCACGGTGAACATCAAGCAAGTGCAATTGGAACAGGATACCGCCAGGACTCAAGAGGACGATAGCAATACGGCGTTGATAGACTTCAACCGTTGTGGTCAAGCCTTGATTGAGATCATATCCTTGCCCGACCTGCATTCTCCGCGAGATGCAGCCATCTACGTTAAGAAGATCCAATTACTGTTATATGCTGTTGACGCCGTCACAACTGGCATGGAACAAGGGGGTCTTCGAGCAGATGTCAATGTCTCTGTCCGTCGCCGGGGTGGCGAGGAGGGACCATTCGCCTACAGCGGCGTGACAGGTCTCGGCCAGCGTACAGAAATCAAGAATCTCAGCACCTTCAAGGGTATCGAAGATGCAATCAAGGCGGAAAGAGACCGTCAAATCAGGATCCTCGAGTCCGGTAGCCCGGTCCTAGGTGAGACTCGGGGCTGGTCCATGACGAGCCCCAATGAAACGAAGAGACTTCGAGGAAAAGAAGGTGAGGTGGATTACCGATACATGCCTGACGCAGACATCCCTCCGTTATACATCAGTACCGACTTGATTTCTTGGATTCAGAAGACCCTGCCCCCCACAACGAGCGAATTGGTTGAGATCCTGGTCCAGGAGTACAGGCTCAGTTTCACGGACGCGATGACGTTAGTCTCACTTGACGACGGCGAACGATTGATCTATTTCCAAGAAGTCGTGGATGAGTTGGTGTCCAGCAGCCGATTTACTACGACTCCCAAGGATCACGGCAAGACCGTTGGGAATTGGGTGTTGCACGAATTAGGTGCTCTAATTTCCACCGAAGAAAGGCAATGGAGCGACAACCCTGTTTCCTCCAAGTCTATGGCTGAAATTATCTACCGGCTGAAAGATAATCAGATTACGGGGAGTTCTGCCAAACAGATCCTCAAGCTCATCTACAATGGTGACAAAAGAACAATCTCACATCTCATCAAACAAGAAGAATTGGGCTTTTCGGAAATGTCGACCGAAACCTACCAAGCAATCGCAAAGGAGATAGTCGAACAATTCCCTCAGCATGTCAAAGACATTGTTGAGAAGGGCAAAATTGGGAAATTGCAATTCCTCATGGGACAAATGATGAGACACCCACGAAGGGGTGACATGCGTCCCCCTGAGGCCGAAAAAGCACTTCGCCAACTGATCTTGGGGAGCCGTGGATGATACTGCAAGCACCATGGAACAATTGATGGTACGTCCGCCAAGGCAAGGGAGATTTCAACGGTCTGCCTGAGAAAGGGAGCAACACCACATCAGTCAACCATTACAAATAGACATCCTCGCGTAAGTGGAAAATATTTATGCACACACATGAAGGGCTCAATAAACGCCGACGGCCCGAACAAATGCTCTATGCTCCATACTTGGGCTGACCCAGGTCATCTTCGTTTCTTTCATTCACCAGATGAGAATGGCCATGGCTTACGGCCCACCTTCAACGAAACACAGCACCTTGTTCGCCTCAAGACACTCCGTATATACGCGCTTATGCGGTATGCACTCGTCCACTCGCCTGAGTAAGCACAAACCATTAAGGGGCCTGGCCAAGCCAAATTTTGCTTGGCTTCTTCCGATGAAGCTTGATGACATTGTCCACTTTTCACTCCGTACCTATCAAAGAGCACCAAAAGCTGGCAACTTGCTGACACAGCAGCTTCTTGCGTGTAGCACCGGGGTGAGCACGAAACAAGGATAGTTAAGGCATGATTCGTGAAATCCACCGTCTCAAAAGACCAAGTCCACCCTCAGTTGCATTGCACGCGCCCGGGCAGTTTCCTCTGCAGCTACTGCGTATATCCTGAACGATGTCTTTGTCGATATGGTCGAGTCAGCTTGACTCGAGCACGTCGACATCAGAAAGGTTCGGTCAAACTTCACGCCTCCCCGCATTTCGGTACGGAAGATGGAGTGCAAATGTACGGAGTTCGGAGTACTTGGCCAGGGATCCACTCGAGTTTCTGAGATGGGCTCCGTGTTTTCCAAAATGGGCATCGTTACGACGCTCGCAAGGGATACTATCACTTCAGGCCGCCCTCCAACAGATCGATCGCTATACGTGGCTAGGACTCCCATCTCCAAGGAATGGCAAGGATCGGAGGAAGTCGATTCGAAAAATGTTTGCTCAGGTTACATGTCCAGCTGCAGGATGCGCGGAAAAATATCCTTAAATACGGCGTCCACCTAGCCCAATGAACTTCATCTCATGCTGTCCTTCATCCTTCTCCTCTTCTGTCTGACATCGCCTATTTTTGACAATGACGGCAACCTACTTGCCCTTGGTCGTCGCCTCAGCCGGTGTGGCAACGCACCTTTTCTTCTTCAAAGTTGGCGAACACTGGTTGTACCCTACCCGCTACATTCAAGCATTCTTTCTTGGGTGTATTGTCACGATTGTGGCTAGATCACATTATGGCAATATTCCTGCAAAAGATTCTCTGGCGTTTACCGCCAAATATGCAGCACTGTATCTGGCTGGCCTCTATACGAGCCTGATCACTTACCGCCTGTTCTTCAATCCATTGAACAAATTTCCTGGTCCCTACTGGGCACGGCTGTCAAGATTCGACATGGTCTTCCGGTGTGCCGGGAAGAGAAACCTACACCACCACCTGCTCGCCATGCACCAGAAATACGGCAAGTTTGTGCGGCTTGATTCTAACAGTATCTCTGTCACGCATCCTGATGGCGTGGAAGTCACGTCAGGTGTCAAATCCAAATGCACCAAAGGCGACTGGTATGGAGTGGACCTTCCATTCATTTCCATGCACACATGTCGAGACCGGGCGCAGCATGATCGACGTAGAAGGATCTGGAGTCCTGCATTTAGTGATAAGGCACTTCGGGGCTACGAGAATCGTGTGCAGAAGTATAACGATCTGTTGATCAAGAAGTTGGAGGAGTCCAATGGTATTTTGTTCCTTGATACGCTCTTTGCATCGAGGGCCCTTTCCGTCCTGATGCCACTGACATCAAATCTACAGGGCAACCGATGAACATGGCGAAATGGTTCAATCTATACTCCTTCGATGTAATGGGCGATCTCGCCTTCGGTGATTCATACCAGTGTCTCGAATCCGGGGAGATGCACTGGGCCATCAAGCTGCTCAATGATGGCATGGATATGATCGGCTTCTGGCTGCCAAACTGGTTCTTCCGGCTTCTGCTCTCCATCCCTGGCGCTGCTGCAGATCACTGGCGGTTCATTAACTACTGTTGCGAACAACTTGACAAGCGGATGAAGATGCAAGGGAAGCTCGAGAATCAGGACATTTCACACACGTTGATTGAGCATTTCAACCGCTCAGACCCCAAGGCGCAGAAGGCTCAGCTACCCATGTTGCAGGGCGATAGCCGACTCATTATCGTCGCGGGGTCAGACACTACCGCGGCCACCTTGGTGCATTTGTTCTACCATATCGCAACGGAAAAAGGTCTCATCCAGCGACTGAGGGAGGAGCTCGACGAGTTGGTGAAGTCTGACGAGGCGATTGACGCACAAAAAATTCAGGATGCACCGCTGTTGAACGGATCGATCAACGAAACACTAAGACTGAATCCTCCTGTGCCAAGCGGAGTATTCAGGAAGACGCCCAAGGAAGGTGTGGAAATTGGGGGCGTCTATATCCCGGGAGACACGGTGATCCAGATGCCGCAGTATGCGATGGCGAGAGGTGAGTTTGGGATTTTGTCCTGGTTCTTGCCCTCCTAGGAGGCTTTCTTGACCTCTGCCCTGGTTTCACTTTGCTTTGCTTCGACATCTGTCCACGTCCAGGCCTCTCAAAGGACCGAATACTCCCTTTGTAGATACTAACCAGGTTCATCTTGGAACAGACCCCGACCTCTACCCTTCGCCACTCGAATTCATCCCTGAACGACATTCGTCCCGCCCAGAGCTCATGCTCCACAAAGACGCCTTTGCGCCCTTTTCGGCTGGTCCATATAACTGCATCGGCAAGAATCTAGCCTACATGGAGATTCGTCTTTTGACAGCGAACATCATTCGGAAATTCGACGTCAGACTAGCGGAAGGAGAGACTGGGCAGGATCTACTGATGGGGACGAAGGACCATTTCACTCTTGGACTTGGACCTCTGAGACTCTGCTTCGAACCAAGGAAGTTGTAGGATGGAGGGGTGAGGCACCGAGCTGCAACGGAGCCCACATGAGTCGGATGAGAACGACAAAGGAGGAAAAAGGCACTGTTACCTACCAGGCCGAAATAATGTATCAGTTTAAGCACACGCCGACGGAGGAGGAAGAGTCCGTTAGCAAAGCAATCGATCCGAGGGCTCTAGGGGATGGCTGCAAGGCAATGACAACCATGTCGATGCGTACAAGTAACGTTGCATGGACCAATCGTCAGTGCATTTCTTGGTTCACAAATCAACGACTCATTGGCTGATTGCCGTTCATCTTCTTCTGTCTCGTTCGGCGCCGTTGGGTGTTGTTGTTGTCGTCGTCGTCCCGAGTAGTGGTCCTGGTGCCCACCCGAGCTTTGGTGTGTATATATACGGAGGATGTATCTTTGTACGGACTTCGCTGTACTCCGCATATGTAGCCGTGCGTCTAGCTGTGAATAGTCTCGACCCACGAGAAGGGTGGGCTTTGGCCTCTTCGATGGGTCTAAGACTCCCTGACTACATGACTGACTCGGCACTGATATGCGGTCTTTGGACGAGTTGTAACGCGGCAGGCTCCCCCTTGAATGCGGGCTTCGAGTCATACGTGCGAAGTTAGTCTGTATAGGTACCTACCTAGATATAGATATAGATATAGATGTAGGCATCGATGAGGACAATGGGCACATACACATGCACAGAGAGAGATATAGGTATTGGTATTGGTATCGGTGGGGGTATTTCAGTGAGCTTTTCTCATCCCTACAATAATAGGTATGTAATCCAAGAAGGCCCTTTTCGGTTTCCCCCTTTTCCACCCCTTCTCCACCCTTGTTTTTGGCCATTGTTCTGTCGTGTCCAAGTAGGTCTTGTAAAGATTCGTCATCGTACGAGCTGTGTATCAATCCAGAAAGGAACGGAAGGAGAGACGAAGGAGAGAAAGAGAGTTATAAATATACCGCGCATCACGGCACCCGGGAACCCTAGTTCCTCTGGACACGGTTCAACGTCACAGTAGCGTATCGCCCAGCGCACACCGCACAAGACTCACCCCTGCCCTCACGGTTTCGGTTGCCCCGGCCACATCCAGAGAAGGGTTCACCTCGACCAGATCCATGGCCACTAATTGCCCGGTCTCATGGACGCATTCGGCGATGTAATCCCCTTCCCTCAACGTTAAGCCTCCTCTAACAGGCGTTCCGGTACTGGGCGCCCACATAGGGTCCAAGGCGTCCACGTCGAAAGACAGGTGAATAGGGGTGTCCGACCCAATATGCGCGAGGGCCATTTCCACCACTCTTCCAATACCGTGGCGATCGATATCGTGCATGGAGAAAGCCTTGATCCTGTGGTCACGTAGGATTTTCTTTTCACCTCTGTCCACGTCCCGGAGACCGATATATACCAGCTTGGTGGTCGAGAGCTTTTGGTCTTCTTGTAACCAGCCGAAAATATCCTTGTCCTCGGAGTGCGCCAGACCGGTGGCGAACGCGACGGGCATGCCATGGATGTTCCCTGACTCGGACGTCTCGGGAGTGTTGATGTCGGCGTGAGCGTCCACCCAGATCACCGCGATCTCTTTGCGCCCATTGTACCGTTCACGAATAGCCCTGGCCGTGCCCGCGATGGTGCCGATCGCTATAGAGTGGTCACCTCCTAGTGTCAAGACCATTCTTCCGTGGCGAGCTTGTTCGTAGACTTGCGCTGCGAGTTTCTCCGTGACAGCGCTGACTGAGCGGGGGTTCTTCATTCCTCTGTACGGTTCATCGGACGAAGGGCGTATTTCGTTGTAATTGCGGACCTCTGTGTCCCCGTGGAGTGTGTATCCCAACTCATCCTGGATCTGGTTGAGCAGCCCTGCTTTTACCAACGCCGTGGGAGCGGCATCCACGCCTTCTTTGCATTGGCCACCAGAAAAGCCAACGAGGACCACACCCAGGTCGGACGGGAAAGGAAGGAACTTTTGACGGATCGTGGAGGGCGAGTTCATATCGTATTTGCTGTTTGAGGACCTGTGGGCGGATGAGGAGCCGTTCGTATGGCCGTTGGTGTGGTCGTTGGTAGTGGTCGAAGGGGAAGACTTCTCGGGAGCTTTGGGCTGCATTCTGGCAGATTGGTCTTTGATGGTCAAAGCGTGTGAGGGCGTGAATCGAGCAATGCAAGGAGAGACAACCAGAAAACGGGTTCAAGGCACACACTGTTTGAGTGGTTTCGTCGGTCGAGACCTGGCTTGGTAGCTGCTTCAACGAGGGAAGGGATCGTGTCCGCGCAGCAAAAGAATCAACTCCAAAGAAATCCCTTTTCCGTCTGTATGTACAGGCCTGTCTTTCCGCCTTACCGTGAGAGAATAAGAGAGCAAAGAATGTGGGTGATGAGCAGGGGAAAAGGAGCGAGAAGCTGTTTTATGTGGCCCGCGAGAAGTTTTGTTGGAAGCCACTCACTTCACTCATCATTCACCCTCAGATTAACTGCAGCGTCATCATCGTCTCCATCCCACAACCCTCATCCCTGCTCTTTTGCCTCCCCCCTCTCTTCCGCTCCGTCTTTCGGAGACTCTCGCTGTTGGCTCCCTCCCACCATTTCCTTAATTCTTGGTCAAGCACAAGCATTGGCATGAACGAGCATGCCGGCGCCGTGGGGTTGGATATCCGCAACAACGCCAAGGATGCTAAGGGTCAGCGGGGCGATAGGCTTTGGTGGGTTCGTGACCCCTAAGTGCAGGATTACGCGCTCGTGTAACACTGGAAGCTCCCTAGAGAAAGCAGGCTAAGTCGTTAAGTGACAATGCATCCTCCCTTATCATTCCATTTCCCCTAAGTACAGGTCCTCGCGAGGCTGTCATATTCCATTGCTAACAGAAATAACTTCAACCTGGTGAAGAGGAGTTTTAGTGCTCAGATGTCCCTGTAAATGCATCACATGGCGAATTTCAGGTCCGCCAGAAGAGCATTTCTATTTGGTAATTGGAATCATTCAAGGGGCGAAAAATGGGCACATAGACCCGGACCGCTCGGGCCTCGTTCTATATTGTAAGTCCCCCCTCGGTCTTCCTGGTACATGTTGACCAGCTGACCCTAGGCCCAATGCTGGAGCTCAATATCTTTTGCCATTCATACTCTTTGCGGCAATATTTTCTCGCACCATCTTTCTTGTGCGGTTGGGCATTTCTTATGTCTTGATGGTTTCCTGTCTAGTTGAAAGCCAGGTCTGGGTAGGTATCTTTCGAGTGTCCACAATCGGACTTGACATATCTCTGCACGACTTGCATACTGCTAGAGAAGCGGCTGTCCTTCGCAGTCATGCCTTGCAAACTCGCTTGGAAGGGCTCTCTGAACTCCGCACTGATTGATGCGACGGAACCCGCTTGAGGCCCAAGGCGAGATACGGATCTGTAATCGGGGGTTGCGCAGTATCCCACGAATTGGGAAACGGCATCAATTCAACGACCAGTAATCTCAGCCCAGGAACTTTTTTAGCGTGTGCTCGAGCTTGGACATAGCCAGCGGCTTCGGAAGGAATGCATCTGTACCTGCCGACATGCAAAGTGCTTGTGCGTCTGGACCGACAACCGCAGTCACCATAATGATGGGTCGCTTGGTTCGAGAGAGTGGCCCCAATAACTCCTGGTTCTCCATCTCTCGAATCCGCTTTGTCGCCGTTATGCCATCCATACGTGGCATCGACTGATCCATCAGAATGATATCTATGTCCCGGTCATGTGCGACAAGCTTATCAATGGCATCTTGACCGTCATCTGCGACTATAACATCGTAGCCGAGCGTGTTCAACATCTTCACCCCAAGCTTTTGATTGATTTTGTTGTCTTCTACCAATAGCACCGTCGAACCGCTCAGTGTTTTGGTCTCGTGAGTTTGCCCCGAGTTCTCGTTGTCCACCACGTCGACCACAGGGGCAAATCTCACGGATCGATCAATCGATGACCTACCGGTACGGGCTGCCCAAACCAAATTCTCGACCATGCGATGCCACAGGAATGGTCTTTTAACCGGTATGACGTGTGGCGGAGGGACAGAGCCAAGGGCTTCATCAACCAATTTCTGCGAGTCATAGGACAAAATGACAAGTTGGTGCCGAAGGCCAAGTACTCGCTCAAGGAGTTGTGGGTGACTTGTCAGAAACACCAAGTCTGTCCAGATATACCCAAAAGAGTCGGGTATTTCATCATTCGGATCTGCTCGGGTTAACTCGAAGTCAAATGCCTTCCAAGCTAGTTGCAGTCCTTCCGCAAATCGAGCATTGCAGTCCTGCAGCAAGGCAATCCGGCGATTGGGACCTAAGGAGCCTAAGGCATGCGGTGTATCGGTTGATGGATGGATTGGAATGGTGACGGTGAAGGTGCTGCCGCACTTTTCTGATCCCACGTTTTCCGCCTGGTGGCATTTGCTCTCCACAGAAATTGTTCCCTCCATTTTCTGCAGTAGCTGCCTAATGATGGCTAGGCCGAGACCAGTCCCTCTCTCGGCGCCTCGGGTTTGGGCCTGTTTGAATGGTTCGAAAAGCTGTGGCAAGAATGACTCAGGGATGCCAAATCCGGAATCTCTAACAGTGATAGCCAAGTCCATGTCCTTGATTTCCACCAGCAGAAGCACATAGCCAGATTGCGTGAACTTTAGAGCATTTGTAAGTAAGTTCATCAAGATCCGTTGTAGGTAAGTCTCATCCAGGAAAAGCGATGATGGAACGTGGGGCGCCACCACAATCATCAATTCAGTACCAAAATCCTCGTCCTTGTTAGGCAAAATCGCCAGGATAGACTCACACACTTTGCGGAGATCGAGGCTGGTGGGTCGACAAACAGCTTCTCCCTTTTCTAACCGAGACCAGTCAAGGACGTTAGTCGTGATCATGGAGAGAGATCTCGTCGCTTGCTGTATGGCAAGGAGGAGTAGACGGGCCTCCTCACTCAGTTCCGTTCGCGACAACAAGTCACTGTAGCCTTGCAGCTGATGCAAGGGGGTCCGGATTTCATGACTGGCGCTCGCTATAAACTCGCTCCTTACTGCCGCAGCTGCTTCCGCATTCTCTTTTTGAGCGATTGCGGCCCAGAGTTTCCTCCGAGTGTGGACGATTTCAGCCAACTTATTCCGAGCAAGAGTCGCCGAATGCGCGAGAAGACCGTTTGCAAGCAGGCAGGTCAGAATAGCAATGCTAGTGACGGCTACTGCTAGATCCGGAGGATATCCTCGTTCCAACGTTGGCTTGGCCTGAGACCAAAAGGTGGTCGCCCACATTCCAGTAAAATGCATTGCGGCAACCCCAGCTGCGGCTACTACCGAGAAAAGGAGCTGCTGGGACAGGTTGACCTCGATTTGGGGCATCAGTATACAACCCAAGGTGCAGACCAACCAACTGCTCAATGCCGAGAGGAGGACAATGAACGGTTGGAGGGTAACGTGGCCTTTGGGAATTTCCAAGGCCAATAGACCAACGTAGTGCATAGTGGTGATTGCCAAGCTCCATATGAAACCCTTACAAAAGTTCGGCAGTGTTGCTCCATGGTACAGGAGTTCAGCTGCCCCAAGGAGGACATTTGTTGTGGTGGTAGTGGTACTCTTAGTGAATTTGAAGCTCATGAAGCCAGGAAGACCGAGGCTACTACCGTCGGAATGGTTTGTCGAAGATGACCGTCGAGAACGCTCCCCTTCCTCCGAGCTCCTTTGGCAGCTTTCAGTGTCGCGAGTAGAATCGTCCTCGAGGGGAGACTCATTTTGGATTAATGGCGGTTGAAGGTGCTGAGGCGATCGAGACGATTCTATGACGGTACCCCCGGTGAAATGGTCCTCCAAGAGACCGAGCGTCATACTTGCACCACTGTCACGGGTTAGAGGACTGTGGTCGGCAGGGCCATTGGAATGACCGGGCGCTCTGACCCGCTCCTCTTCAATTTCCCCTGAGGTCCTCGTTCCCAGAAGGGCATCTGAGCTACCATTGACATCCTCCCTTGTTGGTTTCTTCCTTCTTTCCCGCTTGAGAGCCTTCTGTTTCCTCTTCTTAACAAGACGTAGATAACGATCGCGCATCAGGTCTGCGGCCAACGCCACGAAAGTAAATATGACGGCCAAACCCGCGCTCAGGACCGTTAATGGGACATTCAACCCGATTGGCAGCGGAAGCTCGCACGCCAGCATGGCAATGAAGTGGAGGCACCAGATGGAACAGAAGCCGAAGGTCAAGCTCCCAAGTATAGTCCAAACAAAGACGCCTGAAAAGTATCGCGACGTCCGCGCTTGACACATCATCTGAGTCGAGGTGAAGGCGCCCAAGAGGGACACTGCAATGGACGCCGCAATCAAGCCTCCATTCCATTTGACCTCGAGGCGGCTCAGGGCCGGCTCTTGCTGAGGTTGAACCATTTTGTATCTTGCCGTGGATGGTCAGGGCAGCCGTCACAGAACGGGGAGCCTTTTCCGAGCACGTCGTACACCTTTCCCTACGCCCAACATAGTGGCCCTGGCTTGCCTGCAACTGCGTGTTCTCTTCCGGGCGCTTTCTTGAGTCGCACGCAAGCCGCTGCTTGGGTTTTCGAGGGTCGCGAAATGCTGGAAAGGGGCAAGAGGACGCGGATCGGTTCGATCCTGGTTCGAGGGCAGCGATCGGCGAGAAGGCTCGACTTAGCGTTTACAAAGATATAGGACGGAGGCGTGATCAAGATAAATGCCCCGTGTGCCGATGGCAGACCGGGAAGATCGGAGCAGTGGGATAATGCTAGGTGAGATAAATGACCCAAAGAAGGATTTCAGGGAAAGAGCGGATGCAGAGTCATGGGGAGGCGAGTATCCGGAGCACGTTGTGGACATTTGCCAACTGGGTCACTGCACATCAAACATGGCCTGATAGAAGATGGAAGCTTGCTAGTAACTACAGAGGCCGCGTTAGGAAATGATGGAGTGCCTTTAGTGGTCAGGAAGGCCGTCCCGGAGAGCCTCCTTAACTAAAACTTACTAGGGTGAAGGAATGGGCGTTCCTTGCCCAGACCCCTGGGCCCTGGAGCGATCAACTGTGGGGTTTCAGCGTGCACGTTTTCGTTGTTGCTATGCTTGGCATGCCTGCCATCCCAGAATCACTGGCTTGGGGGGTTTCAGAAGAAAAGGGAGGCACCGAGTCCCTCGTACGACTGACAGCATATTTTGTACCTAGCTATGCGACGCGAAAGGAGCTGGATTAGGCTCCGTGCCCTCGGTTTAGAGAGGCTCGGGCAGCTACTCTGCCACGCTCACGGTAGGCTTGGAAGCTCAGCCTAAACTAACGCTGGACAAGCAAAGACGAATAACGATGGTAAAAGAAAACGAGAGTGGCACATCCACCCTCATAGTAATTAAGCATCGTATAAAGAGAGGTCGATTTTACGCTCCTTTTCAGGATCCCATTCAATCGCCTGGAAGTGATTCAATTTGGATTTCCCGGGGGTTCTCGTTTGGGGTCCCGGTGGTACTACCTCTGCATTGGTTTCGTTGAATGAAATCGGGGACTGTCCTGTTTCTAGAAACACGGCCGCTGGCGAAATCGCCTTCCGCCTTGAATACTTGCTACACTCCGGTCTTCGTTTAATAAAATCCACAATTCAAATGCAGATTGCTGGGAAACTTCCTCCAAATCTGGCAGTCAGGGCGGCCACTTTGGGAGAGGTTTGCCCTCACCTCGGACGTCGCCAACCTTAACGTGGCTTCCAATGCACCACACACGCAACACCAGGGACCAGAAATAGTCCCCTTCAGAAGAAGACATTCGTCCAACCCCTCAAAAACGACGGGTGCCGTATGACTGTGCCATCCTTAATCATATGGCCTCAAAGGACTCAGCTAGAAGGTTCTTTAGATTCATCACACTGTTATGAAGAGCATGGAGAGAGCGAGAACATTTTCCGACCTCCGCGAAATCGCCCTCAACCGTGTCCAGCCTACCCTGTGCCATAGTATATTTGATGTATTTTTCGGACTTACGAGGCCTTTGGAACGAATTCCACAACAGCCACGACCGAAGACGCCATGCTGTTTGACACTGGTTGGTACCCATCTTCCTGTCCGCCGGCGCGAAAATGTGACAGATACCGCCCAACACTCAATAGGGGGTCAAAGTTTGCCACTCCACCCAAAATTTCTCAGTCTACAAGAATGTGTTTCTGGGACAATAAGATTCTCGAATCGTAGCCCGGACATCGAATACTGGCTACATTAGCCAGATTCTCTCATTTGAGATACGCAGTGAGCTGTTGAATATTATCTGAATCTAAGGAAGCGAGCGAACCTGTCTCGTTTCCTGGGCTTGACCCTTAGATCTATATCCCGGTCGGAGCCTCCATAAGAGGTCCAATATTCTGACTGTGAACAGGTCTCAATATGATCCTCTGGGATGAACTTTCCTGCTGCTGTGACGAAGGACAAATCTTGCATCGTGAGCCGTCCAGAGGCCTACATGAGACGCCATTTGCAACTAACAATGCGGCCATTTCTGAAAGCTCCCTCACCTGAGCAGGATGGAGCACAGAAGCAGATCCTTCACATGGAATTTCGAGCTCGGCTTCCATCTCAAGGAGTGTCGTCAAGGCACAAGCGAGTCGATTCAATCCGACCGCCCAATGGAGCGCAGTCATCTGCCTAGGAGACCAGAAAATAATGTCGACCTTGGAGTCCAGAAGTATTTGGCGCAGAACATCTTAATTTCCCCGGCCTGCAGCATGGATCAACGCTGTGAAGCCTTTGTGGTCCATTCGGTTGACATCGACATCAGACCGCCGCAACAGTATTCGGAGAGTTAATATCTTATTGTTTGAAGCTGCAAGCATAAGCGGCGTCTCGCTTAGAGAGTCTACTTGGTACAAGATTGACGTCGATTTCCGATAGCCCGAGGACGTATTCAGTGCATTTAAGGGCCCCATATGCGGCCGCGAGGCCAAGAATAGGAACTTTCACATTTTCGTCGTCGTGAGTAATAGTTTCGCTAGGATCAAAGTTGGGCAATTTGATAGCTGCGCGAACTATGTCAGACTTGTTACACTCAATGGCAAGCCCTGAGGGGCACGGATATCCTTCACCGATATACGAGAAGCTGACGTCTTTCTGAGCAATCAGGATTTTCGCGATGGCGTCCTGGTGGGCGGCTATTGCGACAGCAAGCGCTGTCATACCGGGGCCGGCCGCTGCAAACAAATCAGGTTGGATTTCTGGATGACTGGGAACAAGCTGCACGATTTCTTCGTTCCCTTTCGGCGCCGCGCGAGCAAGGAGACTAAAGTTTCTAATTAGCAGATCTGCAAGCCAATGTGGAATGATCGGTGTCGCCGCGGATAGAGGAATATTGACATGATTGACAGTTGGCCATGGCCTGTTGTATTCTAGCCCCTCGATTGGTGTCCATTTGGGCGATTTAGCAAGGTAGTTGTTGAGTGGTTCAGTGGTTGAGTGGTTGAAAGGTCGAGAGTACTCGTGTTGGTGGTTGAAACGCGTGTGACATCACTCGGCCTACTTATTATATGGATGCACAATTTAAAAGGGCAAGTGGATCCGTTGTTAGACGTGTCGTTTCCGGAGCCTTGACAGCGGCGATGTCTTTTGAATCGTCGGCTAGTTGGACATACCATTGGATATCGCCAAGCTGGAAGATAGAGGTAAGTCAAACAAAGATCTGCCACGCGTCTAGACGAGATAGTGTTTGCATTTCCAATCTTCTATGAAGTCCTCGGGGCGGGCGAGCAAGAACTCTTTTGCGGTTTGATGGTAAAGATGGACTTTGTCCTCTGCGGTTATGAATAATTAATACGAACAATCCACAAAGATTCCGAATCTGGTCGCCAACCCGTCGCACATTCAGATCCAAATCGGAAAGACGCTGGCACGAAGTATTCTCATTAGGAGCAAATGCAACATCAAGTTCAGGCACTAGGAGTAGTCTTTCTGAACAGATGATCATGCTGAGGATTTGTTTGGCTCTTTTGGGTCAGGACTCCGCTCCAACAATTTTTTGTAGGTATCACTCACTGACCCAGGGATATCATCTAGAAGGGCTTCAAGCTGTTTGGCTGCGCGTTGCCACCCCTGCGTGATGCACTTGAAAGCCAGGTCGACCCAAAGGTAGGCTCTATGTTCAGTGCTGAACAACTTAGCTTTGAGAGCAGCCACTGCTCGGGGGTCCAAATTGAGATCAATTGTGACATGGCGACACGATATTCGCACATTTTGCCGATTTCAAGACTTATAGCCTCATTCTCATGTTCTCTTGCAATATGGAAACCGGCTTCATTCATGACGAGTCTGCGGAAGTGTTGTGATATCACTTCGTAAGGTCTACCGGTAATGAGAAACTTTAGCCGCGAACCATTTCTGGACGACTTATACAGCCTAGACAGATGTCTGATTAGGCCTTGCCAATCCTTCTCTTTGGCTTCATCGATTGCACCGATAATACAGACGATTTCTTGGGTCGCTCCATCCGAGCAGCCGCATCAAGCATATGTCATAATGTCACTTGCTCGCTTTGGGTGCGTTCTTTTGACTTCTACCATACCTCTTGTGCACGCCTTATGAGCTGCGTATGGTGCGTGAATAACTGACGAAGAATGGCGTAAAGTGCAGTTGCAAGTTGATTGTGTTTAGCATTGTCTTGAAAGAAAAAGTAGCATGGTGTGCGGCCTACATTGCTTCTTAATTCGTTAAGTATCAAAGATTTTGCGAGAACTGATTTGCCGCATCCGGGGTCAGCCGACATACGCAGGAGAGCATCTTTATCATGCGTCACGAAGGATTGAAATGAGCTATTGTTGATGATCCAGTTAAAGGTGCCTGGCAGACGGTCCGGGTGTTGGCTTGATGGTGCTTCGTAATTTGATGGCTTCAGTGTGCCGTTGAAATTGAGCAAGAATCTCTCGCGGAATGTGGAGTGCCTCACTGTCTATTTGGAAAAGTGTCAGTCATGTGGGATGAAAAGCGAACAACGGTACAAACAGCGCACAATCATCACAACGGAGCGTGGATCCGAGAATGCGATAGGCACGTGAGAGAACAATCGACATTTACCTGATTATAAGCAAAACTGACCTTGTACCTGAAATATTGGCTGTTCTGCTCTGACTCTCAAGGCAGGTACTGCTGACAAAAGCTCTTTAGTAAGGGCCGCAGCAGCCAACGCCGCATATGGTTTCCATCTCTTGTTTTTGTGCGAGTCGCAGTAGCCACAGATACCACGAATCACGATGCCTTTGTACTTGTCCATAATACCGGCTGCCTCCATTTCGAGACAGATAACCTAGAATTTTTCATCGATATCCATTCTCCAGACGGAGTCTTTCCCGAGTGGGCTTCCAGAGGCTATCAGCCCGTAGCGCAACGCCGGTTTACTAGAGGCACGGGGCTTCCGCTCGATAGTCTTCGCGATATCACATTTTGCATACGAAGGCAGTTGCCCAACACGTAAGTAGTCTGATTGGAAAAGTTGATCATCATATGCGCCTAGAGATGAGAACTGAAACTTGATTTTGCTTGTTGTTGATAATTTCGATTCTGTCTCTGCCATGAATTCCGGCATTCGAGATTCATACTGTAACAAGGCAAAGTGCTATGCTGTGCTGTGCTGGGCTGGTAGAGTGGTAGCAAAAGGGGGGGAGTTGTTTAGTCACATGCCAAACCAAAATGGGCTGGCAGAGGGGAGTGCGGAACAGTTTACAGTGCTGGCAGAGTGCCATTCATTACAGTTTGAGCAGAGTATCATGAATTCCATGGCCTTTTGGTGCCGTCTACCTAATTCCTGAGTGTTTTATCAATCCTGTCCTGTTTCTCGATGCTGCCGCTGTGCTAGGTGTTCGTAGCCCTAGCCACTGCCCCTCTGGGTGGTGTTGGTGGTGTTATCTTCTCAGTGCCTACCAGAAACGCGTTCTCGATTCCCGATCTGCTGGACAGGCCTCTGTGCGTTGTTGCACGTACAGTACACGCCGAGCCCTGAAGTGCTCTGTTACAATTGTAGGTTATCCTTACTAGGCGTGAGAGTTGACGCTATTTAAGTACCTATGCTAAGGAAGTATTAGTCCTAATTACGCAATAACCACCAGCGGCTACGAAGACTTCGAGTAGACACAACCGCGTTTTATTAGAGTACCTATGATTTAATTGTGTTGGAAGCAAACTCCTTATTAAGTCGCGATATCCACCCCGTCAAGTCCCATCCTTTTAATACAGCATTCAATGTCGAGTAGTCATACATAAGTCATCATTGGCGTTCCAGTGCGCTTGTTACAAAAATCCAAAAGCCGTGGAGAAAGTGCCCTAGGGTTATTAAGTTGTCCCACCACCATCTTTGTACGCTGTCATAAGCCTTATCACCTTTCATCCAGGACGGACTGAGCCTATTACGCGCCTGTCGACCTCGAAGAGGAGCAGAATACGCCAACGTGCCGTTGGCATGGCCTGCTGTTGGCCTGGCGGATGTCTGCTGAAAGCCGCGAATTGAAGTCTTGTCAGTATCGAAGCCGCAAGTCGTAATTTCGTCGCTGCAGGTATAGTAGAGGGTTTTGTCCGTCATGTCACAGAAGAGGTTTTCCGGAAGCGACATGAATGAGTGACCAAAGGAGTTCCATGACCCACAGAGCTCATGTGCGCTATTAAATGAATGAGGTGAGATAATCAGGAGTTCAGCCAAAGGTTGTCGGGGCGATGTTTACACTCCATCAGTATTGTTGGATTCGATTGCCCTTCTTAATGGAGCTGCATTGTTCCTCAGATTCCTGCTACGTCAGACGGTTCTCTGCCCCGGAGGTTTCCGGCCGCAATACCTGGATTTCCGATGATGAAATTAGGGTCCTTGTCTGTGCCAATCAGTGTCGGGTCATCCAATCCGTGATGAATTCAGGAGGATGTGGGAACACACGAATCGAATCCTCCGTCTTTAGTTTGGGGTACATGCGAAGTCGTGGCCCGCTCTTGCACATCAGATCATTGTTCCGAGTCATCGAAGCCCCCAATTCTCGTTGGTACTTCTGAAACCGGGGAGACGAATTCCCATGCCTTGATGTGAAATACCGTTAGGGCCATCTCTATCGATCCAGATACATTCGAGTAGTTTATCTCGGCGGAAGCGGGATCTTCCAGGACGGGGGTGTTGATATTAGACCAAAATGCACCACAGGCAGCAGCAACATTAGTGCTGAAGCCGGCGACGGCGCCATCCGGGAACGTGACCGACAAGACAGCGGTACAGATCACATCATTTCCGCCGTTCGACAGCGATATGTATGCGGCCTGAATATTTCCCGCCGCCCCGAAGGGTTCCACGGCGATGTCGACAAAGTTCCCTTGGGGCAAGATGTAACAGGTGCCATCTGTAAACCCGATAGCACTACTATTAAAATCCCAGAGAGGTACTTCTGGCGTGTTCTCTGAAAAACTTGCTGCTCCATCGACGGACGATCCCAGAACTATTCGAACACTGGTGTCGTCTTTGGTGTCACTGGGGGCGATGAGATTTGAGAGAAATGGCGCTAGAGAGACAAAGCTTGCCGCAATTCGCAACACGTCGAAGACCTGAGGCATGCTGTCTGAGAGCTGTAATGAGACGGAGGACAACGAACTCGAGGATAATAGATCAAAGGAGAGTGTAATTGAGTGCGCAGGAGAGAGCACGACATACATACGCTGTGCGCCAGACAAGATTTGGTGTAGACCATTCTTTTGCCCAAGCGGTGGCATAAACTGAGGGATTTATATTGTCCCATCCTGATTAGTCCTCAACCTCGCATCGGTTCGCTTCGTGTTATTCCAGGCCCAGACCACAGAGCTGTGAGGACTCCTCTCCGTGAAGATGGCTTCAGCGACAACCAAAAAGCATTGAATATGGTTTTCGGCCATAGACCAGGAGTGTACTGACTACTATTCGGGGTAAGCCCGTCTGAAGACGCCAAGGCTGGTCGATGGCCAGCGCCACAGGCAAATCTGCCAAGCTTTGGCGGCGTTTTGAATACCCCTCCTGCGGTTAGATAACTTCCAGGTTCTTTTCATGCCAGCGCTCTGACGCCTCCCGCAGAAAAAAAGTCAACATGCTTGCAGGATGTTAGCGTGACGGGTATCACTGACCGAAAGTTACCAAGATCGGGCAGTGCCCAAAGTCGCGACGTAGCCGCCTACTTTGACGCCATGAGATGAGATAGTCGCCGGCCTTATGAAGCCAGGTAGGCGTCTCATGTTTGAGAGAGGCCCTCATCCGCCCTGTCCGCCAGGCTACAAAGCGTATCGCATCTCGAGCTCCCAGCGGCCAGGTATTGCTCCAACCCGCTGATGACGGTGCTCATCAGCCCGAAAGGCACGTATGTATAACATCGCTGGACTCTCCGATGGCGGCGCGTTTCTTCAACTTGATATTGGCTCGAGTCCAACTCTCTCCGCCTTTTCCAAGTCCGTGAAACTTACGACCTCTACTCACTGACTTACCACACTCAACTTCCCCACATAGAACAACATGACGAAAACCATGCTGGGGAGATGGGCTGCGCTCTTTACGCTGCTATTACAGGCCAATGCACAACTTCTCAGCTGCTCGGAAGTCGACTGTCCCATGAGCTACGGTACTGCCAGATGTAACATCGACAATACAACTCTTAAAGAGATTGGTGTCGCGAATTTCTCTTCGGCTCTATCTCCGGATCCTTTCTCTTGGACCATCGGGTATGCTCCAGAAGCTATCACTAACAGTACCGATCAAAGACGCTACTATCTTGGTACTCCACCAGCTCTCAACCTAAACAGCCGCACAGACGTCACTGGTTGCGCTCTTTTCTTCGTCGGCATCGAGGAAGGCTTAAGCTTCGGCAGGCCCAACGGAACTAGTCTAGATCTGGCCACGATGTCCGGTACATGCGCAGATGCGCTGGGAATCACATGCGAATCTGACCTGACCACCCAAGCTCACGATCTGGTCACGAACTTGACAGCCTCGGGGGATCTCCGATGTCCCGACCTTGCGCAAGCTCTACAATCCTCGCCTCCTGAGTCGTGCACGAAGGCAGGGACCTGGGGTAACATTACAGCGAAAGGTGAGTTCTCTGATGAGTAGGCAATGGATAGTCTAACTTTTCACAGTCATCGCAGGGCCGGCCAGTTCCCCCGTACTACGTCTTAGCGATTGCAATCCTACCATCAACACCACTTACGATGTGCGGAGTATCGCAACTTTCCCCAAACTTGGCGACGGACCCTTTGTGTATGGTATCACTCCACTGATGACGGTATTCGTAGCGAACGGGGACGCGATAGATGTGATCGCAAGTCCTGAAGTGCACCTGGAGTGCATGAAGCCGATGGGAGATTCACCAGCTAACCAAGTGGTCGCGAGTGGAAAGGGGAAAACTTTGGTTGTGCGCAATTCGTGGCCGTCCATGGTGGCTGCTGTCGCTGGACTCCTCGTCATGCTCTTGTCCACGGGCTGAAGCTGTTGGGCATTGAGATGGTGTTACTGTATCCTATTTCAATTAGCGAGGTTCTTTGCTCATGTTCAACTAAGAAGTTTTATGTATCATGGCGTTAAATCCGGCAGGAAGTTCGTCTATACCCGATGTTTCTCATTTTACAGTATCAACGTCAGGAAAGAGGAAAAGGAGTAATGGTATTTACTATTTAGCAGTATTTAGGTCTTATTACTATTTTATTAAGGTGAGTTAACGTTGATCACTACATAATTCTGTCACGAGCTGTTAAGGATCCTCACTGATCCTAACTGGGTTAGGGTTCTCAGCAACAATCCTAGTATAGCATGAGCTGAGTGTTAAGGATCCTCACTGATCCTAACTGGGTTAGGGTT